TTATACCTTTATATAATGAACACCATGAAAGAAGCCATCCTCTAGATGTGCCTCTTGGAATTTCTCACTGCTGAGATTCTGAGCAATGTTTCTAACATAAATACCTCATACATAATCAACACAGCAGCACCAACCCCACCCACCTCTGGAAACTCGGTGCCCTTGGAAGCAGGTGTGATAAAAACCATCACACTGCTGTGAAGTTCAGTTCCTGAAGTCATTTCTAAGACCTGGGATGGACTTCACTGGTGAAGAACAATGATATTACATTATATAAAACTAGTTGCTTTTCCCACCCAGTTTGCGCTATTCTCCAAAACGACAAGTACTTTGACTTGTATTGACACGTGACATGCTTACACTGTAGACCGTTGTCAAGGGTCAGCAATAGACTCATCAAAAAATATTGCATGCTCAATGGCAACCCTTGAACCAAACAGCAAACCACAAGCACAACGATCGTATCCGACAATTCCACTTCTACCCTACAGTCCACGTAGAGTCTCAATGGTAAGGACAGCCTGGAGAGGTTGGGTGTCACGGGGCTGTCTTTGCAGCAGCCTCACAGAGAAACATCACCGTGATGCATTTTCCAGCCTAGAATTTGTCCATGGCCTCGCAGGCTTGGACACCTGATCGATCAGCACAGCTGGAGCAAATTCACATCTCAGAGGTGCACTTACAGCTCAAAGAGCACAAACTCGACAGGCTACAGACTGATACCGAGACGCAAACACTTGCATTTACAATGAGGACCATCAGTGTCCGATGGACTACAGCAGCGCCGGGGCAAGCCAGAACATTCTCTTTCTGTGGACGTATCTAGCTGGCGAGTCAAGTAATACTCAGAGGTTACTTGGTGATGAAAAGGTGGGACAAAGGGAATGCATTAAATAGATCCAATGCAAGAACAGAATCCAGATTCTAGTTGATTTGCCCTGTTTCACACCAGAGACAGGTGACATCAGCCGAGGACACGCCTCTCTGGGGGGACATCGGCTGGGGACTACAGATTTGTTCAGGAACCCCTCTTGCAACTGACGTAGATTTTTCATGACATTTGTTAAATCTCACTGTGGGAGACACTCAGTTCCCTAAGGTAACGTTTGCTCCCTCTGCCAATGTTATTTAAGGGAATCATCCAGTCCATTCATTCATCTTTTCTTCTTTTCCTAATTCTTTTGTTGTTGTCATTCTTTCCTTTCGACTCATGCTGGCACCACCAAACAAATCCTCCTCTGCTGCAGGCAGGGGCCTCCGCAGCCACCTATCTCAAACCTGTCCCATTGCTCAACTCCAAAGATCGGGACTACATAATTTACCTCACATTAGGATTTTATCATGTCTTTTCCCATTTTCAGAAACTCTCAATGACTCCTGCTGCCTTCAAAGTCAAGTTGAAATTGCTTAGTCTACCACTCAAATTCTTTCGTATCTATGCCCCGTTTATTAACATTTATTTCCCAATTTATTAACATTTATTGCTACTTCATAAACCCTTGACTGCAGTCAACTCTCTTGTCTCTTAATATGCTAAGTATACCCCTAGTTCCATGCTTCTACTTCTTCCTGGGGTCACCGCAAACTCTGCCTCACCATGAATACCTCTGAAAGTCCGACTTTGAAACTGACTTTTTCATTCATTAGATCCCTTTGGTATTTGGTGTATCTGGAAAGGAATTATTATATGTTGATAAACTCTCTCCTCAAGTAGAATTAACGACTTACAGCTGGGGATGGTACATTTTGCCTTTGATGTGTTCTGTTTCTTTAGTTCCTTGATATCGGGGTGCTCAAAACAGCAAGTGCCACCAAACCTCCTGCAGGGCCTAAGCGAGAACTTGCAAAGTGTCACCCCTAACCGAAGAAAGGAGTGAGCCACTCTTGAGGTGGCCTTAGAATATCAGCATGTCATGGCTCCTTCTGGGCCCTGGGAGTGACTTCAGAGCATCACTGTGCTCCCCACTTCCTCACGGGCTTGAAAACCCCACTCACCTCCTGTTAGTCTCACTGTGGGTCGCAAAGCAGAGGCCTGGCTTTACATGCAAATGGACCAGACCTCCGGATAGAGATCATCCTCAGGACCTTAAACAGCAAGAGCGATATGGGCAGTAGTTACATAAGAAAGTATAAGGAGGTCCCTTCGATAGGATGGTGAAGTCTTTGAAAAGGCAGATTTTAATTGGAATAACGAAGGGATCAAGAAAGAAATAGCCTTACGTTATTTTCGCTTCCATTTGGCTTTTCTGCCTTCATGTTGTGTACTCCTACCTTGGTCTCAAGCCTGACTGGAAAGTGCTGTAAAGAGACCACCTGACGTTTTTCTAATGCAAGGGGCTGATTCGCTGCAGTAGGCAGGAAGGCATGCACGGTGCCTTTCATTTTGTGCCGCTGTGCCCGGCTGGGGGGAGGGGGGCATCAGCGTGCTGTCAGCAGGGTCTTCTCTGACTATGAAAGATGAACATACACACGTCAGCTCGTATTTCATGGAATTTGGCAGCCCCACAGCAGAAACGTTGGGGAACCATCCGACTAAGTCTTGAAAGTAGAAGGAGAAACCTAATTCAAACTGGAGCAAAGGTGATAATCTCCCCTGGGGAGGAGGAAATTGTCAGATTAAATGAAGATCATTGAGCCTGATTAGTTAATTATAAAAATATAATCAAAACGAAAATAGTTTGTAGTAAATAAAAGAACAAGCTATGTTAAAATAAAGACAGTAATAATTCCCTGGGCAAGAAAGAATTACTTCTTGGAGACAGGAGATCAGGAAAACATTTGCAAGGGACCTGATTGCCCTTTTAATATGAAAACAACTGGAGACTAATTATGCTTACACCGAACAAAAATTATGAAATAGTCTGTTGTTCAACAGACAGGTTAATGCAAGATATGGGCAGGCAGAGTTTTGTTAAGTAGATCTCACACTAAAAACAACACAAAACAAAGTTTGTGAAAACTTTATATTCCTAGAAAAGTGTTTTATATTAGCGCGTGTTAATTGCCTTCTTTGGAATATAATCCTAGAGATCTAATATATCTTAACAGAGACTCCTAAAGGGTAGACAGGAGCAGGGAAGCCATTTTACAAGGACTACTTTGGTTCCGGCTTAATCACACTAAGACCAGACCGAAGAGAAGACAGATGATTGTCTCATTTTATCTGTAAATATGTACAAAAAGGAGCTGACATAGTTTCCTCTAAAACCCTTGTCAATTCACACACACACACACACACACACACACACACACACACACACACCAGGTAGCTTTTAGCCCATGTTTTAAGTTCCTTTGTAGGCGCCGCTCAGGGGACGTAGACGAGACTGGCCATGAATCACGGTCATGAACGACAGCTGCCCGTGAGCGCCAGCCTTAGGGCCTGGTGATATCATCGCGCGAGCCTTATGTCTAGAAATGCGGTTTTGTTTCAAAATCCGGTCTTCCATGACTGCTGGTTTTTTAAACAAGATATTCCATCTACCAACATAATGACGCCACATTTACATAGTTACGTTGTTCTGAAGCAGGGCCGGTGGGTGAAGAATAAAATGCTGCCTGTTTGCTCTGGACCCCACCTTCCTCGTGAGAGCTTCACACTGGCAGCTAGATTTTCCCCACTTTTAATGAGTTCATAAAGTCCTGACTTCGCATAAGAAAAACTTCCTTGGGAAATATATCCTCATTACCTATCTCATACACCCAAAAAAAGATTTTAGACCTTCACTCACTTTTCATGTGCCCACAGGGTAACCTACATTTAAAATGAATTGTTTTCACAAATTGAAAAATGGAAGAAAACGGATTTCTTTTTTAGAGGTCAAGCTTTCTACGGTAAGCGTTCTTTTTTTAAGTTACATTTTCTAATGACGTGATAATATATTTTGATTCTGAAAAGTTGTTATGTTAGAGGTATTTTGGCTCTACAATGTCTGCTTGCCTGCTGATTTGCACACTAAAAATTAATCAAGAGACTATCAGAACTTAGCATTCACCTTGAAACCCACCATAGGAATTATTTTTACAGCACAGAGTGTCAGTCCAACAGAATGTGAATGGTTTTACAACTTTAAAGTCTGTGACTCGAATTATTGTTTCTCATTTGGTCTAATAGTACGATTTCTTCTAAGAGACAGGGATGGAGTCCTTGGCTCCACACGTGTACAACTGTTAATCCATGTTTCTATTCTCTTACAATCAAGTCTTTACAAACTGAGCAGAGCAACAACCAGGCCGCCCGAAAGCACCTGCCATCCATATTCATCTTCAACATCTGTGCTTTATCCGCTGACCAAGGGGTTAATCTTAGTAAACTAAAAGTCGTGGGGGAAAAAAAATAAACCTCCAAATCTTCCCTTTTAAATAATTATTTTACATATACCTAAAGATTTGGGGACATGTTAAAGGACACAAGAAGTGTGACCAGTAAGTAAAGACTTCAAAGCTCTGGCAGATGAAATGGTTAAAGTTTGAAGGTATTTATCAGTAGAACAACGTATATTTAAAAGAATGTTTGCATTCATCTCATGCGAAAGATACCTCCATTTTATTCACTCAGACATTTCCACAGCAAAGCAATATTTTTACAAGATCATGAAGTGAGTTAACAAATACTGTCCATGACAAAAAGTTTACAAAGTATCCCCTCTGAGCAGTCCATAAAGAACACGTGTGCCCTGGCCGGTTTGGCTCAGCGGCCAGAGCGTGGGCACAGGGACCAAAGAGTTGCAGGTTCGATTCCGGTCAAGGGCACGTACCTGGGTTGCAGGTTGGGTCCCCAGCCCGGGTCAGGGTCTTGCGGGAGGCAACCAGTCAATGTGTCTCTCTCACATCAACGTTCTTCTCTTTCTCTCTCCCTCAAAGTCTATCTGAAAATAAATGAAAAAACACCCTCCCACGGCGATTAAAAAAGAAAAGAAAACATGCGTCGTTTTGTCGGATTGGGGGTGAAACGATAGTTAAACTCAACTTGAAACAAGAGACCACTGCTGTCAACATACCTTGTCCTTGGGTCACTCCGTAAAACTCCGCGGCTATCCTGGCCGCCTCCTTGCGGTTGCCTTTCACGATGTAGAAGTGACTGAGGATCGCCAGGCTGATTTTCACAAAAAGCTTAAAGCAGAACAGGGAAAGGATCGTGAAGTAGACATTGGATAACTGCTGGGCGAATGGCCGGCTGTCTTCTAGCACCGACATGGCTGCAGGCTCCGGGCAGCTGCACACGGAGCCAAGTCCCAACTGTGCTGGCTCCCGTCCGATGCTCCTGAACAGCTGGTCCCGCAGGAGGGCGGTCGGCTGGGATGACACCTCCAGGCCGGCTATTTATACTGTCCAGCCACGCTGTCCCCGGCGCCATTGGTCAGAGAAGATTCCAGGGCGGCGTCGGCCAGGCCGGCCGTTCGCAAGGCCCTGACTGTCCATTCTCAAAGTAACGACGCCACGCCTCTGCCCTGGCTTCGAGTCCGGGCCGAGCTCCCGGTGCAGGTGACTTCCTCTCTGCTCGAGTGTGCCCAGCAGGAGACCTGGGCTTCTGTGGCTAATGTCAGGGATAGTCCATGTGGCAGGTCAAACTAAGTCCATCAGTAGGTCATGAGCTAAATCCTCACACAGTCCACAGCTCCATGATCTTAATCACGACCCTTCGAATTAGCCGATTATGTAGCTTGGACTGTTGTCAGGAAAAATTTTTTTTAATACGTGGATTGACTGGAAAGCTGTAGAAAAATAACTTTAGTCCGTTCATTCATCCAGTGAAAACTTTTTAAGCACCTACTAAGTGTCAAACGTTTTCCTGGATGCTGGGGAGACAAAGAACACCATCATATCCTTGAATATCCTTGCCACGAGAACCTCATAGTCTAGAGGAGGACACAGACCCAGGTGAGGGCAGGGTGGGTCCAAGCACAGAAAGGAAGGGCGTAATCCCGGTAGGGAAGAGTCAGAGAAAGCTTCCCGGAGGAGGTGGCATCTCCACAGAGTTACCAGGTAAACAGAAGTGTTTCACCCTGACTGTCTCAAACCAAGCAAAACAATATACTTTTTAAGCCTATAATTGTTGTTAGCCCTAATTTGACGTTTTATGAATGAAATGCAACTGTCTATCAAGGCGTGCTTAGACAAGCCATATTTTAAAAAGAGACATAGAGTAAATTATTAAGAACAATAATGTAGCATGGCAATATTTTCGTACATAAGCCAAAAATAATATGACAAAATATAAAATGACATATTATACAGAGAGTTCACTGATAGTTCTCTGACCAACTTTGGGGCCTGTTAATTGTTGTATTGTTTCCCAAATCTTCGGAGACGCTCCAGAATAACAAATAAGCTGCCCTGGCCAGGGATGGGTTAGCGCATCATCTCCATACACCAAGGCTCCGGGTTCGATCTCCGGTCAGGGCACTCACACGAAGCAACCAGTGAGTACATAAAAAGTGGAACAACGAATCGATGTTTTTCTTTCTCTTGCTCCCTTCCTCTCTGTACAACACACAAACAACACAGACGATTAAAAATCAAAACAGAATGACAATAATTAAAAGTCAAAACAGAATGACAACTAATACAAAAACACGGACAATAGAAGCGCCTCTTGGAATAGAGGCGGGTACTAATGATCGGTGACAGCGGCAGTGTTGGCCGTTATCTGCCTTGCTCGATGTTTCTTATTGGGCGTATCTTATCTGATTAGACCGGTCTCCACCAAAGGTTCCCCAGACAAAGGAGACATGGCTGTTAAATGAGCATGTGACATAAAGCAGGTTGCTGCTCCCCCCCCCGTGACCGAGCGGCCCCCAGAAAAATAAATGAGGCCAATGTGTTGAAAAGAAATCGCCGAGTTCTTTATGAAAACGGCCCTTGCTGCTATTTTTACAGCCAGAGAACGAGACTGAGGGGCCGTTCGTTGGACCCGGTGACCACTGCACGTGTGCTTTGGGAATTAATGAAGCTGACTTCGGTGTGCTGGAGGCGGAATAACTAAATGTTCCCCTTGCCGCTGTGGTGAGACTTTGCCATTAAGTAGTTCCAAGGCGTCCCCTCCAGTGAAGCTTCCCTGTGCTGACCACACACGGGAGAGGCCTCGGCGGGGACAGCTGGACCATCGCAATGATCTGAGTCACTACACTGACTTCCTCCTCAGCTGCAGAACCACCCATGGATCCCGCTCCAGTCCCGTCTAAGGTTTCACTCTGTCCTCTCCGCCCGTAAGTGCTCTTATAGTTCTCTCCGCATCGGCTCCGCAGGAGCCTGGATTCTTCGGGCTTGAGGGGCACTTTTACTTCAGTAAGGCTGCTCACCTTGGGCATTCTGTTTAAAGCCCTACAGTCTTACTGCTAGAAAGCAATACTACAATATTTAGGACAGTGCGCCAAGACAAAATAAAATAAGTAACTCACAGTAAGTGAACTCATCAAATATAAACCAGAGGCTCTATTTTTCACACTGTAGACCCTTCCAAATAACTTTAGTAATGTGTAAAAGCCACCTGTGCCCCTATGTTCTTGGCATTAGCATTTTCTTAGAAGTAAAATAATGATTAGACGTGATTGATTGAGTACTCACATAATTTACATTGTTGAGAGGATGTGGTCAATTAGCTAGTACAGCCCTACTGTTCTAATCTTGTTATATATTCTCAATAAGTTCATCCATCCGACCAAAGTTGAGCTCCACCGTTGTGTGACTAGAATGGGTGGCGTGAGAGAGGTTGACGGGACCATCGCTGAGAGTCTACTGGATGAGACTTGTTGTACATAAATCTTCTCCCTCTCTCCATCTCCGAGGGGTGAGTACGATTATCTAATTTGAAAGATGAAGACAGTGGATTTCAGACGGCGCTGCTGACCTAGAAAGTCCCTGTGAGCAACAGCACTATTGGCACATAGTTCTGACTGAAATACATGCTCAAGTCACTGCTCATATCTTCTACTTTTAAACTCTTACAATCTGAATGAGCAAATGCGATTCATGCATGAAGAATGAGACAGTCCCCCAGGTTCTCTCTCTCTCTCTCTCTCTCTCTCTCTCTCTCTCTCTCTCACACACACACACACACGTTGAGGGGGTCAGTCTGAGATTATAGTCAATCAGGAACCTAAATTAGTACATACCTTAATTAGTAGGGTGGTCTATACGTGGTGATTCTGTGAGATGGAATCTTGTGTGTGCTCAAGAAATGGACAAAAAGGCTGTGTTGGGACTGGGCTGATACTTCCAGATTATTCAGAGCTAAGAGCTGGTGAGCGGCTCCCGTGAAGACGACAGAGAGGGGGAACACAGAGGGGTCAGCATGTGGAGCGGTTCAGAGCAACACGTTAAAAACACCGAGTTCTTCAAAACACGGTCAAATGACTGAGAAAGAAGAAAAAGAATGAGCATAAAGAATAGGATATTATGGCCAGTTTTGCTCAGCGGTTAGATCGTTGGCCTGTGGTCCGGAGAGACCCGGGTTCGGTTCCCGCTAAGGGCACGTACCTCGGTTGCAGTTTGTCCCCGGCCCTGGTCGGTCGTGCGGGTGGCAGCCACTCGATGTGTCCCTTTCACATCGATGTTTCTTTCTCTCTCTCCCTTCCTCTCTCTCCCTCCCACTCTATCTGTACAAAAAATGGAAAAATATCCTCGGGTGAGGATAAAAAAAAAAAAAAAAAGAATAGGATGTTAGTTCTGGCCAGAGTCATTCTGGTAACTTCCAAACCAGTATTTTAATAAGATGACGGAGTGGGTGAGGCAGGACAGTAGGAAGCTGGGAAATTCCTTGATAAGTGTAATGAGGGAAACAGAAAAAATAATTCCACAAGGCCAAACAATTTGAACAGCTTACAGCCAGCTGGTGAGTCGCAGGTTTTATCTTTCCTAACCAAAAGCAAATGGGTTACACGTCCCAGACTGTCCTGGGGCAGAGCATCTTCGATCACATTCTTTAAAACCAAAACTAACCAGAAGACCCTGACCCGCGTATGGGCACATTTTGCTGAATCAACATATTGAAGAATACACCTGGAGTGGATATTCTGTTAACACTTTCCCTGCAACCTCCCCCAGGACTCTGATAGGCCAAAGAAAGACAAAACAGCCTCAAGGCGAAGGACCCAGGGTGCTCTCGACAGAGCACGCCCATGTCTTGTTCCTCTGCTGTCTTCCTCCTATAAGAGTCCCCACGGGACTTGCAACCCGGGGAGCAGCAGGCAGCAGCAGCTCGTCCTGGGCTTACCCCCTGAACCTGTCTCCAAAGTCCCCTTTTTTCTGACTCTTCCTTTCCTGTTGCTTCTTCTACCTTAAGTCATTCCTTTGTTTCACTGTCCCCAGCTTTAATAAACATACCCTCAAAAACACCTGGCCTCATCTCGTAAAATCTCTCCTGCACCAAGTCAAGAACCCACACATAACTGGTGGGCCCGAGGCAGGCTGGCTCTGGGCCCAGACCCAGTCCGATAACATGGGAACCGTAACAGCGGTGTGAAGGGAGGGTCCTAAAAGTGACTTACAAAGGAAAGAACATTCCTCGGCTTCCTCCCCCACACGGGTGTCAGAGCAGAGTCCCGAGGCCACCCTGGGGCTCCCAACCATTCTCCATTCAAACCTCTTGCTCACCTCGCTTGAGCTTCCCAGGGCACTGCATGAATAGGCATTTGTGTGTCTGTGTGTTTCAGAGACGTAATTTCATGTCACTCCGATGTTGAATATGATAGTGACTTTAAAATGTAGCCAGATTCGTCTTTAAATTCTGATAAAAGAGAATATCTCATTTCCAGAGACTACAGGGCTCAACCCTTTGCCTGAGCTGTAGTACTGATCCACGTTATTGGACTGGACATGTCAATGGGAAAGAATGAGAATTGCCTGTTTCTAGTGCTTTCCAGTTGATTAATCTTAGCATACATTTAAAAAAAAACTTTAATAGATTTTTAGAGAGAGAGGAAAAGAGAGGGAGAGAGAGAAAAACATCGATCGGCTGTCTCCTCTACGCTCCCTACCGGGGATCAAGCCCACAACCCAGGCATGTTCCCTGACTGGGAGTTGAACCAGGTTACCTTTTGGTGCATATGGGATGATGCTCGACCAACTGAGCCACATCGGCCAAGGCTAGCATAAGTATTTTGATGTAGAAGAAAAGTCATCACTCCATTGAAATGGACATTTTCTTCTTCTTTTATTATTTTTTAATGTGAGCCCTTATATTCTGGTAGAAATCTTAAGACTCTAATTGAAATTTTTATCCCTATTATTCCAAAGACCCTGAGAACCACAGGCGTAC